TTATTATTGAAGAGAAAAATCAGTTCGGCTCTTTTGCTAGGTTTTTCTGAACGTGCCAGCGAACCTGCTGGAGGTTGAGGGAGTTCAGCCCCTATCCGGGGTGGCAGCTTTCCAGCTCCTCGTCTCGCTGCCCTCCAGCGGGGCTGAGCCCAGGCAGTGTGAAACACAACGGGGTGTTGTCAGGGTGTCCCCAAAGGAGCTCGCGCACTTCATAACTCCAGCCTTAAATTATACACAACATCAAGTTCGAGGCCGAGGAAATAACAGAAAAACAAGCATCACGAAAGCGTTCAAGCAGCGGAACATTTTGCAATTAACTTTTGCACGCACCCGTGCACGGGCAGGCGCAGGCATGCAGGCAAGGCCCATCCCCTCGTCTCCTGCCGCCTGCTCCTCCTCAGCAAGGACCATCTCTCTCATGCCTTCACCTTGGTGACACGGTCTGGGACTTCCCACTAATGTGTGGGGTACAAGAGGCTGCGGTGGGGCTGGGCAGACTGGTATGGACAATGCCAGCTCAGAGGGCCTGCTCAAACCCCTGCGTCTTCCTCAGATGAAGTCTAGGACATTCGGGTCTCCTCATCCCCTGCCTCCCTAGATCCCAGGCACCATCCCAAAAAGTGATGGAGGGGGTCTCCTGCGCCAAAGCAGGCAGCGCCCACCCACGCCCTTCCAGAGCAATGGAAAGGCATTTGGGGATTCAGGCACAAACAGCCCCAATCTCACCAGCAAATCTCTCTGCATACCTGGAGCATCTCCTTGACGCATGAACCGCTCCAAAAAGGTATCCGAGAATTAATCCTCGGGTCATTCCGGATGATGGCTGTGTTGGCCAGATGAGTCCTTCCCTCTAGGAAAGAAACAAATCCAGACCCAAAAGGACTTGCTGCTTTTTGAGCAAAGTCCAGAAATGGGAAGAGGAGCAGAGACAAGCAGGGGAAGGCCCTTCACTAGATCCAAGAGCCAGCGGGGCCAAGTCCTGAGAATATCTGGATATTCACATTCCAGCAGCTCAGGCCCATCCTAATGTGCATCCATGTGCGTACATGCTCGGAGCAGCCGGATGGGGTGAACTCCTTCTGCCTTCCCCGCTGCAGCAGGAGGGTGAAATCTGTGGGATTCTTTTGCCCTCTCCCATTCCCCAGCCATCCATCTCCTCTCCAGCCACCCCTGGCTTTCAGTGGGCATATCTTGAGTGTTGAGGTTTATAAATGAAGCGGGCATCAACCTCTTTGCGAGTGACTCACCAGGAAAATGCTGGAGGTTGGCTCCCCAAAGCCAAGGCAGCACGAGCTTCCCATGGCTCCTTCACCCACCCCACTCACATGCGTGTGCCTCCTCCTGGCCTACAGGACGCTCCAGATCACAGATTAGCCTTGTGAGCCAGGGCACACAGTCTCCCAGCTCATGGGACGAGGTGTGTGACCCCCACATAAATCCTGCACGGTGTCACGGATCAGGGGACCGGTGAGGAGAGCACCGGGGAGCATGCACATATCACAGCTGGGTCATTTCACTATTCTGCAATGCAGTGTCTCACGTGCAAAATGCAACTGGCAGAGGTACGAGCGGCTGCATTACCTACGAGCATTGCCACCCCAGTCCCACATCTGTCCTCCCTTCTCCATACTTTCCATTCTCTCGTCCTGCTTCTGCTCCTCTGCAGCAGCAGCAGAGAGGCGAGAAAAGAGGAGCACAGCAACTGCCGTTTCCCCGTCCTGTTCCTTCCAGCTGTATTTTTGCGTTCCCATACCGAAGAGGGAAGGTGCCGTAATTTCATTAACACAAAAAAACACACCAGGAAGAAGGAGGGTTCAGAGCATTTCATTTGTAACCACAGTTGTTCCTTCCAGCTGTATTTTTGCGTTCCCATACCGAAGAGGGAAGGTGCCGTAATTTCATTAACACAAAAAAACACACCAGGAAGAAGGAGGGTTCAGAGCATTTCATTTGTAACCACAGTGCATTTTGCATTATTGTATATAAGGCATAGACAGGTGATACATACATCTTCCAGCCATTTCAAACCCCTGAATAACAGGGAGCCACAGGGAATACTTTATATAGGTCCTACCTCCTGGGTGGCTTTGGTGGAGAGGCATAACCAAGCTACAGAGGGCCCACAGTCAGGCAAACAGATGGATGTGGCTGTTCAAGCAGCAATGCAAATGGGATTGAGTCGGTGTTTTCAGACGCTCAGACTTGCTTTTACCCACCACAGTCCCATGGAGTCTTCTTGGCATGAAAATTGGCCCTGCAGCCTGGACTGGGAGCACGGAGGGTTGCATGCAGGGGTGTAACCCTTTCCTTATCCTTAGGCAGTTGGATGCCCTGGATCCTGCTCTCCCATCACGTATGACCCATCCTTGTTTGTCAGGGAAGAGCTGCTGGTAAGTGCTGGGGAATAAAATATGGTTTCTCACTGGGAGAGGCTCCGGAGAGGTAACACATGAATGTGTTTTGGCAGGGTTGCTTGTCTCTGCTGCGATAGACAGTGGTTGTTGTGATAGGATGGGTGATGAGCATCCAGATATAAGCAGTGTTTTGCATTCAAGCATGGGTCACTCATCCCTTTGGGGCTCTTGGCACCAAGATTTTCTTTCTGAGATAGGTAGAGGTCACAGAACAGTAATGCCGAGATGGGAAATTTCACGGTCTCTGCAAACCGAAGCAAGGAAGCGATATAATGGGCCTGCCTTCCCACTGGGGATAGGAGAGCAAGGCATGCCAGCACTCAGCAAGATATGCGGACACCCCCCCGGCAGAGCTGGCTCATGGTGGAAGAGGTGCAAGGACCAACCACACCAACGTTTTCATAAAATACAAAACCCAAAACTCATTAAGGTGCAAACACAAGCAACATTTGTCCTCAGCTCATCAGATCCTCAGGGAGAAAGCATCACGGAAAATTTGACCAAGACCTGGTAGTTTGATAATAAATGTGGGTGTGGATGTGAATGAGGTTGGGAGGCTTCTAGGGAAAAAACAAACAAATGCAAAAACGAAGCATTTAACTGCGCCGGTAAAATGAAATACCCACCCTGGGGTATGCAAGCCCAAAGCCAACTTCACTGCTCAAGATTTTGGGAGAGGGATGCTGGATCAGCCAAACCTCAGCTTCAAGGACAGGTTTTTATAGCTGCGTGTTCTCCATGTCAAAGACACCGTCTTCACGCATGGCAGCGAGCTGCCCTCTGCAATCTGGGTGCTGTTACAGTACTGAGTAACAAGGGAGTTAATGCTCAACGCATTACATCCCAATCCAGCAAAGCAATTAGGCGTGTGCTTTTTCCCCTGACTTCTGCTAATCTCAGGCTTAAGTGCCTTGCTGGAGCAGGGCAGGAGCTTACATTAGCACAGTTTGTCCTGAGAAACTCTGATCCCCCAGGATCACTTTTCACTGCTACTTGCTCTCACATGTCGCGCTGAGTAACAACAGCTCCAGGGGACAAATGAAACCGAGGAAGACATGTTTTTTCAGTGGGGAAAGGTCCATTTATCATCAAAGGGACCGTAGCAAAAGCCACGTGGTGCCGGAGCAGCAGGACAGCTGTCTCTCAAAGGGATATTTGCTTTCATGCTTGATGCCCCTCTTCTGGGAGATGGTTCCTTGCAGGATGAGTGGATGCAGGATGAAAATTTGACGGTAATGCTGTTTTGATTAGCATCCTCTCATGACATGAGCCAGCGCTACAAAACACTAGAAATCCCCTTAGACCATACCGCTCCGTCTGATTGCAGCGGCAGAGAGACGGACGGACAGGAGGAGGGAATAGAAAACAGCAGAAATGTCCCAGCACTGCCACCCCAGTCCTGTCACAGCTGCCACGTGCTCTGTGGGAGGCTGAGCAAGACCTGCAGGATATGTCTCATAATAATCTGTTTGCAAAGCAGAAAGCAAACAAGCCTGCTTCCAAAGGTGCAGGTTATCTGCCCCATTAGCGCCCAGCAGCAGTGAGTTTCACGGCTTACGTTGCAGTCTGGTTTGTACTGTTTTGCTTAAGCATGTTTGGGAGCGCGGGAGAAAAAAAGACTAATGCATTCACCGAACTGTGGCTGCAGGGGTGGCGAAGAGCGGGAGAGGAGAAAAGCAAAGGCCACGCGCACTGCTTTGCTCCTGGGATTGCTCTCAGGGTAGGGCTCAGCCCGACTCCGCTTTCTGCCACTACAGCACTGGTTTTGAAGGGAGGCATGTGGGACTGTAGAGGTGAAAGAGCAGCTCAGAGGGAAAACAAGCTCCAAAAAACGTGAGCCAGACTGTGCAGTCCTTCATGAGCGCAAAATTCAATGGGAGTTTTGATTTAGCCATTACCACCAACTCCTGCCTAGGTTTTGCATCTCAGCCTTTTCCCTGGATCCTGTATCCTGTGGTTTTTGCTCGCTTTGGAAAGGCAACGTATCAGCCCAGGGTTTCAGGCTGTGCAGCACATTTTGTCTTCAGTAGACTTTATACATATATAAACCACATAATACACATTGCACAGCAAAGGAAAACTGAGGCTTGTTCAGAGTGCAAAGAAAAGCATGCTCAGAACCTGAGAGATTTTGGCTTGCATGTGCTGCTTACGCCAGCAGCCCGCGACTCCTCCGCTAAGGTCTGCAACATGTCTGTGCGCTCACAGGCTGCACATGGAAAGGTCCTTTTCTCCCCCACCCTCTTCAGTTTTGCACTGGTATTCAAACTTTACAAATCAGAGCAGCTTAACAAGAAAAAAAAAAAAAAACCCACAAAAAAGAAAAGAAGACAGACAAGGAAGTAAAATAAGAAATATTTCAGAGTAGGTGTTATTTACGTGCTGCTTCCGAGGTGAGTGCTGTAGGTGGGATTCTGCATACTGCATCAGGGTAAGTTGTATCTTCATTTTGGCAGCAGCCTAGGGCCTGAGAGAGGCTGTTCCTTCTCCGTCTCCATCTGCTGATGTGATCCAGTGCAGAGCCACAACTTCTTTCCAAAACCCCCAGGCAGGCACCGGACCTTTCAGGTGTTTTCCAGCACAGCTTCAGTTGAAAGGTTTCACCAGTTTCATAGCAGCATAGTTCTAGAGGGACGGAAAAACGAGGGAAAGAAAAGCTCATTTGAAGCAGGTACAGCAGGGCGACGTGTGGAGGTTAACGCATTTTTTGGGGCACGGCGCAGAACTGCAGACGGGGCTGCATTCAGGGCAGGCACGACGGCCAAGCTCCCAGCCCCAGCCTGCAGAGAGAAGCAAGCAAGAAGTGCATTCCCGCTAGCAAGGATGGTAGAAAGCCCAAGACACGTGGGAAAACCGGTCTTGCCTTCTTCCAGTACTGGTCACAAGTACCAAGCAGCGAGCACAGGAGTCACTCCTGGACTTCGATTGCTGCTTCCATCAGTTTTTAAGATAAATTTCCCCCTCTTCATACCCTTGTAAGAATTTTGGCACCTCCCCACCAGCACCATCCCAGTGCCCACATGCCTTCTTGCAGGCGAGGAGACACGTCCAGCTCCTTGCTGAGTTGCTCCAGCCTCTCCCTCTCCTCTGGATCCCGGTGCCCCTTCCCCTCCGCTCTCTTTTCGTGCTGCTCCCCCACAAACCCCGAGGCTGTATTCGCTACCCAAGCCCTGACCTCGCATCCTTATGGCTCCTTCTCCCCACGATCCCCCCAAAACTGGTGATCCCACCCGCTCTACCCGTTGGGTTGGACCCCTTGGAAACGGGCCCTGGCCCCGGTCCCCGAGCATCCGCCAAGCTGTGCCATGACGTTTTCTGGAGAGCGCTGCTTTCCACGGGCCAAAACCTGCAGCCAGGATCATGCCAGCAATCAGCCGGTCTGAACAGCAAGAGGATGGCTCTTGAGCCCTGCCCCATCCTGATTTAGTTTCTTAGTACAAACCTAGCCTGCAGGTCCACGGACTATCTCCAAAGAATCTGCCAAAGGCAAACCTATTGCTGAATTTTTTTTCTCTGCCTTGTCTGCATCCCTTAACGCCTCAGCCATCTGTTTCAGCATCAGCATTTGGTGTGGGTTTTGTTCCTAAGAGCAGACACCCCGGGCAAGACCTTCCTGTCCCTGTTTTCTGGGATCTCTACTGTTATTGCACGGTGACGTATGGGGCTGCCATGGAAAATGAGGTGTCACAATATTTTAGCCTATTATACGTGCAGTTCCTTCCTGGAAAGAAGATGACAGCGCTGTGAAAAAGAATAAGCTGTGTGAACGCTGCTTATCAAGACCACGATGAAAATACAGACGAAGATGCATGCTTAGGTCCTTTGGAAAGAGCTATATTTAAAGTAGCTCTGATTCAAACCCCCACGACCACATACCAGCCTGTTTGGAAGTCCCTCCCAAGCATATTGAATTTAATTGGTACAGGATGTTCTATCACTCTGTCACTTTAAAAAAACAACTTTGGAAACAAAGCATAATGCTAGTTACCGGCAAGATCTTTGGAGGAACGGGGCAAAAAGAAAAAAAAAAAAAAAAACACAACAGAAGTAAAGTCTGACCAAAGGCATCTTGATAAATTACAACGTGTAGCAAATTATAAGGCAGTTTGCCAACTGAGGATTTCTAATAATGTCATAAATCAAGCAAGCAAAGTTAGGGCAGTTTACCAGGAGTCATTAGAAAAGCCTCCAGTGACATATAACCTTCGAATTAATTATCCATCCATTTGTCTTTCAGAGTCTATCCTCCAAAATACTCCTATTTTTTATGATTTGACTGGTTGCATTCTGGAGGGTAGCAAGTTTTCTGTCCAGCTATGAATTTGTATTAACGAAGTGTTGAAAGCCAAGCAGGATTATCAATCAGCGCAGAAAGTGAGTTGTAATTAGAATTAATGGCAATGGAAGCAACGCTGGGCTTGCAGAACACAAACAGAGCTTTAAAAGGTAGTAAACATTTTCATGGTGCTGCAAAGCAGAGCTGACTCCAGCTGGAAGTAGCGTTACATTTTTCTATGGTGGTAGCCACTAAAATCTTTACAATAATCACTGCTTCGGGGAGATAACTTCAACGTTACGGATGCAGAAGCCCAGGCTGGACTTTTATAACCTTTTCTTCTGAGCTTGTGTCTAGCCCAAGACTTCCACTCAACCGTTCCCACAGCAGAAGGCAGAGCTCTTCTCAGCTATGGCAATGTCGGATGAAAAGTCTATCAAAGTCACTGGACCTTTCCAAAAAGCCCCACAGCATGCCATAAATGAGCACTGCTGGACAGGAGCATGGGGTGGAACTAGAGCATATCTTGTAGAAAGACATTCAATCTCGATACGTGGACGCCTCGAGCAACGATGAATTTACCACAACCTTTGGCAAATTGTTGCAATGGTTAATTACCCTTCGTCTCAAAAATTAGCATCCTATTTCCACTGGAATAGTTCCTCTAACTTCAACATCCAGCTACTGGATCTCATTATACTTTCGTCTGTTGTTTAAGGAGTCTTCTGATGTCAAGTTAAATCTAAGGACTGTCTGAGGAAATCATATAGGAAATATCCAGGGAATGCTGTTCCCAGAGTCCTTGTACAGACCATAATGACAACCACTCTGCAAAGAAAGCCAAGGCAAACCAGTGAGTAATCTGACACTAAGACTGGGTGGAAGAGCCCAAGTAAAAAAATGAAGAACCTCAGAATATCAGATTTTCAACATTTTTTCCCATTTTTGTAAAACTAGACAACTTTTTTTATGGAAATTTGCAATACCATGCAGTTTTCCACCCAAAATCAGAAAGCTTTTCAGTTGGAAATGGCCTCTCACCCACTAAAACGAGTTGCTCTGTAAACAGTTCCGCTAATGACGACTGATTCCTTATGGACTTGTGCCTAAATTTCCCATACTGCCATACTCCCAGCTCCCCACGGATCCTGATGAACCTCCTCTTCATCCCAAAGCACTTCCAGACCCTTCCCCACTTCTACAGATCTCCCCCTGCTCCTTCCAGGGACCCCAGATCCCACCCAGGGCAGTCACAGCACATCCCCTGGCTGGAAAACAACTGCTGGTTGCACAAAGCTCTCCTGGGAAAGAGACTTTGAAGAGGACCCGAGAGGAGGAATGGGAAGATCTTTATTCCAGCCCATGATCCATCACACATACTCCGTGTCCTGAGGACAGCGGAAGCACAAAGGCACCACATCTTCAAAGGTTTCTGATTCCACAAAGTAGCTCTAAAGGCTATTTTGCAGAATATTCTGCAACATAGTCTTTAGAAAATACTTCCCTGGGGAGTAAAGTATCTCTTGACGGGTATTCTGAACAAGACCAAGACATCAGCTTCTTCATTCACTGAAAAGCCTGAGCTTTTGGGAACCAATGTTTTTGGGCACTACGGTTGGGAACCACAGACAGCCCTTCGCTGTTTTGGGTGGCAGCACACAGCTTTCGAATGGGACATTTGCTCTTACTCTCCAGCTACTCTGACCACAAAGCTGGGACTGTGGTTGGAAGCTTTCAGCACTATATGGGCAATAAGAATAAATCCAAAAAATCCCATTTTTAGACTGAGAGCCAATGGAAATGCTCTTGGTTCATTTTCAGGTGAGATTCCTGTCTGTCTGGGATGGAGGGTGACTTCTGCAGGGTTAGCTTAGCTCATGGGACCATTAGTATCCCAGGGCATATTGCGGATAAATATTTCTCAGGTAAAAGATATCCTCCTTCGGTGTCTCAGGCAGAGTCCAAACAAGACAAGATTTGGAGCCAGGGCTCAGACTTCTCTGGCAGCATCTGGTGCATGGTACACAACACTCCCAGGTGGAGAGGCTCTATGCAGCAGGCAGGGCATTCAGGCTGCAGGCAGGGCATTCAGGCTGCAGGCAGGGGCATTCAGACTGCAGGCAGGGGCATTCAGGCTGCAGGCAGGGGCATTCAGGCTGGCAGGCGGGGCATTCAGGCTGCAGGCAGGGGCATTCAGGCTGCAGGCAAGTCCCAAGGCTCCTGCTGAGCCAAGGACCGGCTGCTGAAAAGCAATGACTGGAAGGACCCTGGAGGTCCCAGTGGAGGTCCCAACAAGCAGAAAGCTGTGAATGATCTCTTCGTGCAAGACCATAGCAAAAAGGACAACAAAAGTAGGAAAATAGTAACTTCACCTCTGCATGCACCACTCACCATCCCTGTTCCTTATCCTTTGCCTGCTCAGACTGATGGTCCATGTGCCCTAATGGGATTCCTTTGAGGTTTCCCTCCCATCACCCATGAGCTATCCCTTTTCCCAGGATGAGAGGGGCAGAACGCACACAAAAACCCTCTACCTGCATCATAGGACCTCAAAACTGCCCATGTAGTGGCAAGATGATGTATACAGCACTAAATGAAGCAAGGCCCTTATTTTAAACAGGACCTGATGGTGCTCCTGGCACGCAAATCAGAACAGAAGTGAGGAGGGATTGTTTTTCCATGCATTTAATCAAGGATGTAATGGTGAGCCCTGCCAAAGGTCAGGATGCCAAGGGCATCCTTCATAGCGAACCATCACCAGCACGATTGCCAAATTTAGTGCCTGATGAAACGAGAAAGGAACTAAATCTCCAAGTAGATACAGAACCAGTGACCTCAAAAATCTAGGGGAAGCTGGCCAAATACATAAAAACAGAAGAATTCCATGAAACATGGCCTTATTTTTTCGAAATATGACTAAAAATTGACCCGACCAAAATGAAATTAAATACAACAACATTTAGCTAGGAAACAGGGAAAAATCCCAAGTAATAATGAGTGTAAATCAATATTTATAGTTTGCGAATTTTTTCTCCTCTCAGTGTTGTTTTTATATGATACCACTGGAACGAATGCAAAGCCACTTGCATCTTCAGGGAAACACTGAGTTCTTCTTGGTCGAAAAGACTTGGTTTCTGCTACTTGACATCAAGGGGAGTCTCCAAGAATGGCTCCGAGTACAGGGCAGGGAGGAGGCAATGCAGCACAAATCTGCACTTGCACAATTATTTCCTCCTTCATACTACTTAGCACCTCCGGAATTGTTTCTCCAGCAGGAGAAGTATCCCAGCCCTTCCCATGGATACGCAGACAGAGGGATGGGGAGAGCCATGATCTAATCCCATCCTCTTTTTTTCTCGATGGGAACAACCGAGCATGCACGACTTCAAATCATCTGAAAGTGATTACAATGACGAGGAGAAATTCCACACCTCGCTTTTCGGTTGCACATTGCAAGCACACAAAGCCATCTGCAAAAGGCAGCCACGTTCTCTCACATGAAGTTATAAATTACCCCAATGAGTTCTTTTCTTTAAAAAAAAAAAAATCATATACAAGAAGCAGAATTTGTTAAGTGCTGGGAAGAGAGAGGCGGGTCATTTTTCTTATCAGTCTGGGAGGAGGGGAAATGGCATCCAAGAGCCAGCATGAATTATTCCAGTGCTGTAGAAACAGAGGAGGATACAAAAACCCATCCCAAGCCAAACTGGAAGGCCAGGGCTCCATTATTTATTTAATTTTTTTTGCCAGTGGAACTGACAGTAAGGCAAAAAAAAGCCACTTTCTTGATGAATGAGGTGAAAACTCTCCCCCTCATTTCAGACATTACATTGGTATAAAGCGCTCCAAGCCTTGACGACAAGAGACGGGGCTGCCCGAACGCCTGCATCTTTAAACAGTTACAGACCGATGTGGTTTTTGCCACTGCTCAGTCCTGTAAAATGGCTGCACTGCTAATGAGGCTGCATGTTTGTCGGGGATTTTCCCACCAGCCCTTCAACACCTCCAATATCAGCTGCTCAAACCTCTTTGAAACCAACCAATTAACCTCAGCATCATTAAACACGAATTGAAACATGGGCACAAAGAGGTGGCACCTTGCGGTGAGTCTGCAGCAGAGACCAGAAACACAGACTCTCTTTTTGACCCGTCATGGTCCACCAGGTTGTTCCTCAGGGACCAGCATGGGACTTTGCAGCCACGTGCTCTGGGACCATCTCTGCCAACACAGAGGCTGGTCAGCCACAGAGACCTGGGGGAAGACCTAAGACCTTAGTCAGCTCCCTTGCCCTCTCCTGCACCCATCGTACCGGGAAGGCGTAGATGAAGATCCCCAGGAAGAGCAGCAAAACGAAGAGCACGATGGCCAGGATAACCACCCACTTGTACCGCCGCCACAGGATGTACTTCAGGGTCTTGTACGGGGAGGTGAACCACAGGAAGGAGGTCTCGGGGCGCCTGGAGCCAAAGAAAGTTGAGGTCACTCCTGAGTTTCACAGTAGTTTCACCCTCCTGGATCCCCAACCCTGCTGTAACAAGCTGGCTGCTCACCCTGCAAACCCACATCCTTCTGGGTGGACCATGTCACATGCCCTCCTCGGTGGTCCAGACCAGCCTCCCAGCCACCCTGGATAGTCTCAGCTCGTACAATCTGAGCTTCAATCGGTCAGAAACGGAGCCTACACAGGAGCAAGCCCATTGCAGAGGGCAGACCTCAAACTGGGAACCCAGATTTTCAGTTTGCTCCTTGAGAACTCTGTGCCCCAGTGGTTACTTTTCCATTCAAGATGCTCTTACTTGGGGTCCTCCAGCTTGGGGTTCATATTTGGCTCGTCCCGACCCATGCCAGCTGGCCGCTCTTCATGCTCTTGTTCTGCCACAATTTCCAAAGTCATTTCCAATTTGCCCTGTGTGGGTTAAACAAAAACAAACTTATAAACAAAACCAAACAAACAAACAAACAAAAAAAGAGAGGTGAGAAATGAATGTGTGATGCAAAATACTGATCGGGGAAAGAAAAACTGCTTTGAGCATAACCCAACCCCTACCAACAAGGACCACAAGGAACCCAGTAGGAGTGGATTTCATACAGATCCTTCACCTGCCCACTACAACGTTCTCAGCAGATACTCCAGGACATCTCAAATGTCACTGACACCCAAGTTTAGGCAACCAACCCAGGGGTCTTTTGTTGAATAACTTAATTCATTGCCTGGACTCCTTTACCTGTATTGAACAGTCGCCAAAGACTTTAACAGGAGCCCAGACACTTAGGTTTAAATATATCAGTCTGACAGCTGAAACCTTTCTCTGGTACTTGTCACAACACAATATCATTAAGCATAGATATGATACAGAGTCAAATTAGGTGGCATGTTCTAAAAACCACAGCAAAAATCCCGCAGAACAAATTATTTCTTCTGAGGCATTTGCATGGTGCTGGACAAATCCTGGAAAACATCCAGCTGAGAAAAGCTGGTCCAGTTTGAAAAATTTGCAGCCCAAGATTATATTTCTTGCCCTGACCATGGCATCCCACATGTGCTTGGCCCAGCCACGTCCCTCCTCAATGCTTTGAGCAAGTCCCCCAAGAGAAGATGTGAAGAGGCCACCTTACCGCCAGAATCTTCTTTTGATCCTGCTCAGCAACACAAGGCCACCATCCCTTGACAGTTTTCTGCTCAAAGAGTGACACGAAGCGACTTGAAGACAAGGTCTCATCCACTAGCTCTAAGGAGCACTTCTCAGCGGTCTTGGCAGGTTTGGGCATCCTGTTGAGATCCATCTGAATGGAGCCTGCAAGGAGGAATGTTACTGGGAAGACATCTCGGTGTAACAGGTCCTTAAAACGTGGACTGTTTCTCTGAAAAAATATTCACTGTGGCACCCTCCTGACCTCAGGGAGCTTGGTCAGACACCCACACAGCAAGGGAGAGAGCGGGCTCAAGTGTAGCCCTATTTCCAAGCATACCACTAGTTTTAGCCAGTGGCTCTTCCTAGGAATTGAGCTCTTGGCATCACCGTTGTGCTTAGGAAGACCTGAGCCATGAAGTCCTAGAAGAGGCTGCAAAATGTCCGCTGACTTACACAGCTGTAACATTGGATCATTTGCACTGAAGTCAGCCAGGCAGGCTGAGATTTTTATTGAAGACTGAGAGATTTAGGTGAAACTCAAATTGTACACACCCACAGCCCAGTCAATATAAGAGCACTGGGCAGGAGGCCTGCAGATCTCCAAATAGGTTATTTTATTGCCCCACCCGGGTCAGTAATTGCAGCAGACTAAATATGAAGGATTATCCCACAAAACTGATAGCTTCCTTTGCAGAGTGATCCAGTAATTAGCACATTTATCTAGCCTTTAGGAAATCTGAGCTCAGTTCTCCAAGCGTTAGCTGAAAGTGCCTGTATTTAATTTACATTGCTACACTAATTTACCTTATGGTTGGGAACGGCCAAGAACATACCCAGGGTCTGATCCTGTGCCTCAGCTGAGGGACAACAGCTTTTTACACTGCTGTGGATGAGTCACATTCGGTTTCGTGCTTGTATTTGTAGCTTTTCTGTGCCACAGATTCTTGCAACCAGTGACAATAACAGCAGAAACCAGGTTTGTTGTGAAACACTTTTGAGGTCCATTGATGAAAAACGCTTTACAAAAGCCAAAGACCACTTTTATTTGACGGAATTTGCAAAAAAATAATGTTGGCAGTCAAGAGTTCATGATGTGCGGAGCCAGAACTGGAAAACACACCTCGGAGAGGTTACTTCGGCACTCAGCTTACGTAATTAATCAAAGACAGGATTTAACAGGATCCTGATCATCCTCAGTGAAGCTTTTGATGTTTGAAATTTTTTTAGTGGCAAAAACAAAGATAGAACAAGATCCAACAAATGCTGGAGTCTCCAGCTTCTACACCGATAATCTGCTGCATGGCTCTGATATCTTTCCTATTAGAGGTTTTTGCTTGATTTTTTTCTTGACCTAAACCTAGATTTTTGAGGATGATTAAGGAGGCTAGCACTGAAAAAGGCATTGAGCTGTGTTGCTGCCTAAACATCCCAGGCAGGGCAAGGCCGGTCAGTGATCGTGCCTGGTGACCTCAGCTCAAACACACGGTTAGCCCTGATGAGCACATTTCAGCACAGACTCAGCTGAGTCACGGAGAACTGGGACCTTCCTGGAAGGTGGTGGCTCTGCTGGATTTGATGATGCTCTCAACAGTATGTCAGCCCAGGAATAGGCTGCTGCAAGCTGAGACTGGAAATCTGCCTAATACAAACCACTTATCATCAGTCCTGAACTTACGCTGACACTGAATCCTGTTCAGTGGCTTAAACTGGTCTTATTACACTTTCTTCATATCCTGAAAGAATTCAGTAACTTTTTCCTTCCTGTCTGCATCAGCAGAAATGGAGCCAAAAAACTCTCCTGACTTACCCAAATAGTCATCAAAAGAGAACTTGTCATTGTCCCAGATCTGGAAGATAAGCTGCGGTGGAATCTTGTTTTCTGTCTTGTCCAAGCTCCAGAAGTGCTCCTACAATCACACCAGACAAAAAAAATAAACCACAAGGTAAAATAAAAGGCTCGTTAGAAGAAGTGGGCAGAGCCTGGCCACTCTCATCTCACAGCAGTGGAAATCCTGTAACATAATGCTCTTGGCTTGTCCTGCTCCAGTTCTGTGGGGCCAAAGCCACAGGAGGACACTACTGGCTCTGGCCAGTTCTTGGACAAGGATGCTCAGTGGAAAACTCAAGAAGCTTCTGGAAGTTGGGTTGGTATCAATTTGTACCTTAATTTAGTGACAATATTTTAGCAAACAGGCACCATGAGCTTGCGGATAGGATCTTTTGGAGTCACAGCATCATATTTGCATGATTTAGCCTGAGGGTGACTCTCCAAGGTGAAGAGAGCAACCAGTGTTGAGTGCTAGTGCTGCCAAACTTCACCTTCCTCTCAATTAATGGAAAAATATAGGAATAACACTTAAATTAGCATTTATGGTAGGCAATTAAAATACATCCCCTCCCCTTCTGCCCATCTCTCACCCCAGCTCTGCCAGCAGCCAGAGCCCTGCAAAAGTCTGGATCTACCACTGCTCTGGTCTGCTGTCCAGTGTGTTATAAGTAGTTTGTGTGCAGTTGGCCAACTCGCAACCTGCAAACTCCTGTACCACCTGTAGGTAGCCTGTGGCTCCCACGTTTACTTACTAAACATGAATATGTAAAGAAAGAGACTGGTACTTTCATAGCAGCTCACTGTGTGGTGGGTTCCTCAGTTCTCAAATGACTTCGTTCATCTTTTCTGCACGTCTCCCAGGTTTTCATTCTCAGGACAGGTGAATGCTAGAGTTGGACATGGTATCGCAGTAACTCTGCTGCTAATATTACACTGGGCTGCTTGCCAAGCCACAAAGTGTGATTGCCGTATCTATTACTACATCCAAGTTCAAGAAAGGAGAGATTCAGAGCACCAGCAAGCCACAATGACCAATGCCTGGCCCCCTGTACAACTAATTGAGCGGTGGCACTGTGACACTTTATTTCAGTCCTTATAACGTGAGATCTGTCACTGTCTATATGCCCTCCTCATTTCATAGAAATCGTAGAATCATAGAATCCTTAAGGTTGGAAAAGACCTCTAAGATCATCAAGTCCAACCGTCAACCCAACACCACCATGCCCACTAAACCATGTCCCTCAGCGCCTCATCTACACGTCTTTTAAATACTTCCAGGGATGGGGACTCCACCACTTC